CCTTCATTCACAGAGTGAGAAACGACATGATGGATACCTCATTTGGTCGTGTGACCCAACTTTGCGTGAAACGACACAGTGGTGGGCCACCTGTGGAAGCTTAAAATAAGGATTCGAACCGCTTGGATTTCACTCTGTTTTTACAGTTTTCACTTAAGCCTCAGTGCCTCAAACAATTGCACCAACAGTCTCATGAAGTGTTTGGGAACCATGCCCCAGCTGGTTCCTCAGTGATTGGTCATGTCCTGGTTTGAAACTCATCTCAATATAGAAAACTGTCCAATCCCGTCCCCTATTGCTTCTTTTTGTCTTCTTGTTCCTAGTAGCGATGCCAGGAGCCCCTAGTAGCGTCCTTGCTCCTAGTGGGGCAGGGGTCACGCGAGGGTCCTATGAAAAAGATCACCCACTCCGCCTCAGGTACACACGTCTCCGGCGTGAGCCCTTTAGCCACACAATGGCCAGCTTTGTGGCAGATGTCTACTGTCCCGAGGTGCCTAGAATTCCCAGGTTGACTGCCGAGTCTTGGGGTGGTTTTTCTTCGCGCGCAATGCCGCAGCATCGAGAACCACAATGAGAAAGACCGGGAACCTGCACCGAAGCACAGGCTCCACGTGTACCTGAGTCCATCCTGTCGCCTGGCGGCCTGATTCCCCTTACCGATGAGGCGGCAACCAGGGTGGTCCTTGCCGAAGGAAGCGCTAAGTTGTCATGTAGTATCCTTATCCTTATGATCTCATATGATCTCTTACGACTCTTATGATCACATTGCACTGGCAGCTAAGACCAGAAAGGCAAATGTGTTTCTTCAGTGGATGCCAATTGGGCATCACAGGCATATTGGCAGGATAAGATTATATATATTTGAAATGAACCTGTCTCCATTAACAAGTTCAACTGAGAGTACTTTCAGAAGTGAAACTTGCTTCCTGTGGACAGAGGGTAAAGTTGTTTGAGTTGATACTGTAGGTTTATCAAATTTGTGTCGTGACAGCTGGATTTGAGTAGCCCTTGGCACAAGGCCCAGTGTTTAGTCTTTGCAATCTCTTCTTCTGACTTGTCAAAGCTCCCAGATGTGCCAGGAGCAGTTGAAACGGCGAGACCGCAACTCGGAAGCACTGTAGCAGCGAACATGTGTCAAATTGTGTCCTAGTGCACCTCCAGTCTAGTTGATGGAATGTTGTTCATTGGATCTCCAACAGAGCAAAGTGGACCCAATCTTGACGAAGGTCGGAGTGTTTTGAGACATTATTGTGCACCACTATAATGTGATATGTCATGTCCATACGTCTATATATATGGGTGAGTATTCGTTTCTCCGGCTTCTCCTCGGAGGGCTCCACAGGTCTCCGTTTGGTCATCCTTCCCGTGAGGTTATTCAAAGAAGTCGGCAGCCAGTATGAAGCGCGAGATGAAGAATTGGGCAGCAGCCTCGTAACTAGAGCCATGCTTTGCCAGCTTGGCAGGGGTATGGGATAAGGACAAGGAAGGTTGATCACTGAAAATGAACCCTAAGAAAGGTGATGCTGTCTTCAATCGTAAGTGACATCCTTGTCGTCGCGGCTTGGTTTCAATTGTGGATGATATGGTCCACCCTTTACCAGCTGGAGTATCGATTGGACATAGTGACATAGTGCTCAGATCCACACTTCTGAGCATCGCGTGCTTTGACAAAAAGCTGCGTGTGGATGTTTGGCTTGCTATGGTTTAGTTGATGATAAGTGAAAGCTGTTGGTTGAGGGTTTACAACATGAAGCAGGGTTTTTTATTTGTGCTTCGTCCCTTTTTCTTGGCTGTTTGGCCTTGGACCAAGTATATATATACTGTAGCTTTATTTGAGTTGGTACATGTTACATCATGTTACATGAAGACATTATTTTTAAGGGCTTACGCCCGACAGCCGGCCAGGGGCGTTGAGGTAGGGGGCTGGAGGGTGGAAGATTCGGTGCGGGTGCAGGCTGAGGGAGTGCATGTTGGGCGGGCTTGGGGCCATGTTGCGCACAGCTTGCCTTTGTTGCGCGGTCTTGGGGCTATGTTGAGCATAGCTTGCGTCTAGCTTGGGCCCATGTTAGCACAGCATCCGCACACGACGCCGACGAAGCATCCCGGTGCGGCACGCATTTCCAACATTATTTGGGCCTATGTTGGGCTATGTTGACCTATCGTGAGCAACAAGCACGGGAAAAAAAACATCAAAAGCACTGAGTTTTCTGGTTGGGGGCGGATTTGCTTTCTGAAGGAGAATGCCTTACTTACGCAGGTGAGGGCTGGAGGGCCGTAGCTGCTGAGGGTGCCATCTTGGCTCAGTTTGAGCCCATGTTGGCCTAGCTTGGGCCCATGTTGCCCCAGCTATGGGCCATGCTGGCCCATCTTGGCCCCATGTTGGCCCATCTTGGACCTATAGCTAGGACGGTTTCCATAATCTAATTCTAGCCCAAAACGCGCCGGGGACGTAGCTAGCCCCCCTGGCCCCCCTGGGTCGGCGGCAGGGGGTGGAGGAGGAGAGGAGAGAACCCTGCGGGATGCCACGGGCCTGGGCTTGCGCCCCTGGCCGGATTTAAGGGCTTACGCCCGACAGTCGGCCAGGGGCGTGAGGTAGGGCTGGAGGGTGGAAGATTGGGCGCGGGCGCAGGCTGAGGGAGTGGATGTTGGGCGGGCTTGGGGCTATGTTGCGCACAGCTTGGGTCTAGCGTAGGCCATCTGGAGCCTTTGTTGCGCGGTCTTGGGGCTATGTTGAGCATAGCTTGCGTCTAGCTTGGGCCATCTTGGGCCCATGTTGGCTCAGCTAGCCCATGTTGGCCTAGCTTGGGCCCATGTTAGCCCAGCATCCGCCCACGATGCAGACGAAGCACCCCGGTGTGGCACGCATTTCCAACATTATTTGGGCCCATGTTGGGCTATGTTGACCCATCGTGAGCAACAAGCACGGGAAAAAACATCAAAAACACTGAGTTTTCTGGGTCCCCCACCTGGGGGCGGATTTGCTTTCTGAAGGAGAATGCCTTACTTACGCAGGGCACGGCCCTGACTGGGCTCGTCGCCCCTGGCCGGATTTAAGGGCTTTGGAGGGCCGTAGTTGCTGAGGGTGCCATCTTGGCTCAGCTTGAGCCCATGTTGGCCTAGCTTGGGCCCATGTTGGCCCAGCTTGGGGCCACGCTGGCCCATCTGACCTATGTTGGCCCCTTCTTGCGCCTATGTTGGCCTATCTTGGGGCTATGTTGGCCCATCTTGGACCTATGTTGGAGCCATGTTTTCGGCATCAAAGTTGGCTTGGGCCCATGTTGGCTCCATCTTGGGCCCATCTTGCGCCGGGGGCGTAGCTAGGACGGTTTCCATAATCTAATTCTAGCCAAGCCTGGCCCCCCTGGGTCGGCGGCAGGGGGTGGAGCCCCTCCTCTCCGAAGGGGAGAGAACCCTGCGGGATGCCACGGGCCTGGGCTTGCGGCCCTGGCCGGATTTAAGGCCTTACGCCCGACAGCCGGCCAGGGGCGTTGAGGTAGGGCTGGAGGGTGGAAGATTGGGCGCGGGCGCAGGCTGAGGGAGTGGATGTTGGGCGGGCTTGGGGCTATGTTGCGCACAGCTTGGGTCTAGCTTAGGCCATCTGGAGCCTTTGTTGCGCGGTCTTGGGGCTATGTTGAGCATAGCTTGCGTCTAGCTTGGGCCATCTTGGGCCCATGTTGGCTCAGCTTGAGCCCACGTTGGCCTAGCTTGGGCCCATGTTAGCAGCCCAGCATCCGCCCACGATGCAGACGAAGCACCCCGGTGCGGCACGCATTCCCAAACTTATTTGGGCCTATGTTGGGCTATGTTGACCCATCGTGAGCAACAAGCGCGGGAAAAAATTGTCAAAAACACTGAGTTTTCTGGGTCCCCCCACCTGGGGGCGGATTTGCTTTTTGCTTCGCAGAAGGAGAAGTGCCTTACGCAGGACACGGCCCTGACGGGGCTTCTCGCCCGGGCCAGACCACAGGCAGCCAAATGGGTTAGTTTTTTTCGAAAAATCGGGGAACCCAAAAAACAACACGGAACCCCTAGAGACATGATCTGTCACTGCATCACCAAAGTAGGCAGAAGAGAGCACGGCAAATGGGTTAGCATTTTTAATCTGGGAACCCAAAAAACAACACGGAGCCCCTACACAACCACAGAACTACCTAGAAAAGCCAGAGCAAATCCTGGAAAAACCCTCGAAAAAGGCATGAAAGGCATGAGTAAATCTTACAAAAGCCTGTGAAAATAATAGAAATCCAGCGGAAAACGTTACAACATCTAGGAAAAACCAAGGGCACTGGCAGGGACCAGCCCGGGATTCGAGCCCGGGACCATTTGGGACCGTGCTTATTTTCCCGCGTGGGTGGAGAGGGTGCCCCAAGATGTAAATCAATTGACAATTTTTGGCTACTTCTTGGACCATTTTTGGCTACTTTGCGTTACTCCAACAAGGCTCCGGAGGGGTAGGGGAGGTATAGCCTTAATCATAGCCTTAGCCTTAATCGACAGTCACGCCTGACCCCACGAGCCGGATTAATTCCATCAATTCCATCCTACTTCTGCTTCTCGCATGCTTTTGCTGCCTCCTCTCACTTGTTTGCTGGAAGAACCTCCCAGAGCCTCCAAGCAGTGGTTATCCAATCAGGGAGGTGGTGTGGGTCGTCAGCACAGGACAGCCTGGAGTACGTTCACGTGGGTCGGGCCGGTGTGGACAAGCTTTGAGTTTACCTGTAGTATTGGCCCCCCGAAGTAAGGGCTAGCTCCTAGGTAGGACGCAGGAAAGCTCACGCTTCTTCAAGGAAGCTCCCCCCTAGGAAGAAGCGCTCGCACCAATCATTTGGTTCCTAAGTTTTTACTGTAGGAAGCAAGTCTACTATGGCAAACTTATGACAAACTTTGGTCCAGCAGCTCTGATAATGTTTGATCTGGCGCTTGCATTGACAATCTCGGGTCTTTTGAGGCCAAAGAATCCAAACGCTGTGAAATGGTGATTACAAGGTCTCTCTTGTCAGGCGCAAACCCGGGCGCAACGCTCTTTGCAACAGACCGGCAAGGCCTTGCCGGAGTGTTCTATTCTTGCCATGTGTGAACAGGGGAACGTGCTATGGGATCTCAGATTAGTAATCAATGCCTTCTTGCTATTTGTCATGAGGTTTGTGGTGTTGTTATGCAATGTTATGCCTTTCTGATCCTTTTTGCACCTGTAGCTGCTACCCTAGCAAATTTCACCTTGTGGCCTTTGCGCAAATGAGAAAAGCAGAAGGAGGCTCTCTATGATCCTTTGAAAGACATTCATGAACATCCCACCAGCATCCAAGGATTTTGCAAGTTTCGGTGCATTTGTTGCAAGGTAGTTCATCCAGCACATCTCAGAATAGTGTCGGTCAGGATAGACCATCCATGACCATCCCCAGCATATTCACCTCAGAACATCCCACTTCGTTCGAACACTGGACAGACCACCAGGATGGCTTGCGGCCAACATCGCCTCTCCACACAGCCGCATCATCTCCAAATGGTGCGAAGGCCGTGATCTGTACCTCCCACAGTCACACTGAGGGTGAATATGTAAAGCTTGGAACCCCTGCTTGTGTACAGTAGTTAAACAAACCAAGAAGACGGCTCTTCAGGTGGTGAACGCCGGCTGCAAAACCAATGTTATTTATCAGAGGTAACGGTCCAGCCATGTCCAGCCCAGTGGTAGACCTGACCTCGGAACCATCAGGCTTTGCTGCCAAGTAGCAATGCACTTGTTACTAGTAGCGATGCCCCTGCTATCTTCTTGCTCGTAGCGATGACCTCAACCCTACTAGTAATAATGCACTCGTTACTAGTAGCCCGCTGCTGTTTCAGGCCGTCCAGGCGCTCTTGGAGCATCGTGCGACGGTGACGGCCACGGAGGCCTGACGTTCGTCAGGGCGAGCTGGAAGGCAGATCAAGGATTCAGTGGTTGCGCACGATTCTGTGAGACACAGTCATGTCAATCATGAAGCCCAAAGAGATCTTGAATACTACTTTGGACACTGTAGAGGATACTGACATTGTGTGGTTTTCGTCGTTAAAGATACTGCGGGCGCTGGATCCATTTTGTCGGGGCAAAGCTCTTGATATTCATCCCTTACTCTCACCTGTCAAGGGCCGACGGGTTTTCAGGTCGACTACTTTGGATGTTCACCCGCTATTGTTTTTTTGGTTTGTCCAGGAAGCAGGATGCTAGTGGTGGTGAATTCTGCACTAATGACCAATGTAGCACAGCCCAAAACACTGTGATCGGATCTTTGGACCGAGCCACGGAGACGTCGCTGCCAGGGTCATGGTGTCATGGCTTTGCACCTGGCCTCACGGAATTCTCAGGTCCGCCGCAGAAACCTGGGGGGGTTCAGGGGCGTTTTTGACACCAGAGCTGTCTTTGATTAAACCATGCTCAGGGACTCAAGCCTTGGTTATGTGATGCGGAGTTGCTTTGTTCGTGCTGCGTTACTCTCTTTGGAAAGTAAGTATTGAGTTGAGCCATCTACTGAGCCTTCCTGACAACAGGCGTTGCGCCATCTACTCCCCACATGGATATCAGCCTTGATAGACTAAAGTAAAAGCCATCGAGGAAATTGCACCATTCCAATTTTTTCAACATTGGATAATTTGGGAACAACTCAGCTTATATTGCAATTCTTGGCTGTTTTAAGTTTTCGTTCACTCACCAATTTGGCAACATAAAGCTGAGGAGTAGATGGCCCAACTCCGTTGACAGGTTTTAGAGAGAGAGAGAGAGA